AAATAATAATAATAATAATAATACACATTAGATCTTTGTCCCAAAACATACATAAATGCATACCTACATAAACTGATAAATTAGTAAATAAATACATTAGGTATAAGATATGGGTCAAATAATTAAATATTTGGGTCAAAATATTTTGATATCAGCATGTGTGTGTTTGAAGTGCATCTAAATATATATATAAAACAAAAATATTACATACAAAGAAAGAGCAAAAGTTAAGAAAAGCAAAAAAAAAATATACAATTTTGTAGTTTGTCATTTTTTTGCAATATTTTTGCATGAATTTAAATATATTTGAATGTAGTATTTTTCTATTTCCATTTCTAAATATGTTTGGTGACTAAAATATTATTTTAATAAATACATCCGTTTAATAAATGAGTTTAATTCAAATGTACCTAAATATATTACCTATTTATTGACTGGGAAAGGGATAAAAATATCCTTTTTCAAAATGGGGTGTACTCCATACTGTATACACTCACCGGCCACTTTATTAGGTACACCTTGCTAGTACAGAGTTGGATGCCCTCTTGTCTTCAGAACTGCCTTAATTCTTCATGGCGTAGATTCAACAACGCACTGGAAACATTCCTCAGAGATTTTGCTCCATATTGACATGATAGCATCATGTAGTTGCTGCAGATTTGTCGGGTGCGAATCTCTTAATCCACTGCATCCCAAAGGTGCTCTATTGGATTAAGATCTGGTGATCGTGGAGGCCATTTGAGTACAGTGAGCTCATTGTCATGTTTAAGTAACCAGTCTGAGATGATTCGCACTTTATGACATGGCGTGTTATGCTGCTGGAAGTAGCCCATAGATGGGTATATTGTGGTCATAAAGGGATGCAACAATACTCAGGCTGTGTGGTGTTGACACGATGCTCAATTGGTATTAGAGGGCCCAAGTGTGCCATGAAAATATCCCCCACACCTTTACACCACCACAAGCCTGAACCGTTGATACAACCCAGGATGGATACATGATTTCATGTTGTTGACTTCAAATCCGAACCTATCATCCGAATGTCGCAGCAGAAATCGAGACTCACAAGACCAGGCAATGTATTTCCAATCTTATATTGTCCAATTTTGGTGAGCCTGTGCCAATTGTAGCCTCAGTTTTTTGTTCTTAACTGACAGGAGCGGCACCCGGTGTGCTCTTCTGCTGCTGTAGCCCATCTGCCTCAAGGTTGGTCGTGTTGTGAATTCAGAGATGTTCTTCTGCAGACCTCGGTTGTAACAAGTGCTTATTTGAGTTAAAGTTGCCTTTCTATAAGCTGGAACCAGTCTGACCATTCTCCTCTGACCTCTGGCATCAACAAGGCATTTAAACAAAACCGCCGCTCACTGGATATTTTTTTTCCAGACCATTCTCTGTAAACCCTAGAGATGGTTGAGCGTGAAAAGACCAGCAGTTTCTAAAATACTCAGAACAGCCCGTCTGTCATCATCAACCATGCCATGTTCAAAGTCACTTAAATCACCTTTCTTCCCAATTCTGATGCTCGGGTTGAACTGCAGCAGATCATCTTGACCATGTCTACATGCCTAAATGCATTGAGTTGCTGCCATGTGATTGGCTGATTAGAAATATGCATTAAGGTGCATTTGGACAGGTGCACCTAATAAAGTGGCCAGTGAGTGTACATAATAAATGGGGTATATATATATATATATATATATATATATATATATATATATATATATATATATATATATATATATATATATATTAAACACCCATATAATGTTATTTTACAAACATATTTTCTTCTGTTTAAAAAAAAAAACTTTGTTATATTACTAAAAAAAAGCAAGTCTTTAGGATCTCTTGCATGTTACCATTATAGGGTAATAATCACAGGAAACCAGATCACCAATCTCACTCACACACACACACACACACACACACACACACACACACACACACACACACACACACACACACACACACACAGAGATCAGGGCTAGTGGTACACACGACCCATTTCAGCACCTAAGCCCTGCTGAATGTAGGTTAATCGCGTTGACCAGGAAGCCCGCGATCATGTCTAATTTGATTATGAAACTGCAGACATCAATACGTGTAGGTGAGGGGTCGTGTCCACTGTTGCAAAACAACACACAATAACAAACTGCCTAAAAGGCTGACCAATCAGTACTCACCGTTTGATGGTAAATTCTGGATGACTTTGACAGCAGCGTTGAACCTCTGCTCGTAGAGCGGGTTGCTGTCACCCTCCATCATGACAATCTAACCGCTTCAAGAAGATCCGAATCAAATCTAGCAGCAACAAGACATTACCTATTAACAGATGTATGTCATGTATTGTTGACAGTACATTTGCAGTAAACCTACATGCTATATAACCCTTCGTTAACGAGAGAGTTTATTGTTCCCAAAGAAGTAAACAAAGCTACAAACACCCATTATGTGTCCACAAATCCTGAAGGACACTCAAGACATGACGGAGAGTGCAGCGAACAGTATTTAACGTGGTATTTTTAGATGGACGTGCTTTATAAATGGTCGAAACGACGTTAAAACGAGCACGAGCATTAGATACTTTACCATTTGCTGCTCTACCTGCTGTGCTGGAGACTACGACCTCATGAATACGTACCTGACAGTCAACATACGAAAGCCTTCAACGTGTGTTTAATGGGAATTGTAGTTCTTTTTGAAAGCGATACTGCTTGTCAAGCCAAGCCCAGAAGTGTTTAAATCCTACAAAACCCACAACCGTTCAGCCGCACGCGTGGCATCCTGGGTAGTGAAGTTCACCGTGGCAAGCTTACCCATGAGAGTTTATAATAAAAACCGTCGCTGACTGCAAACTTATAAAATGCTAAGCTATGCTTTGTCGCGTATTTCTAAAGTAACATGTGCGCTTGATAATTTCCTGCGCCCTAGACGCCGAAGTTACACTATAGCAAATAATGACCACATCAAAGCGTCCCGTCCCACGTTATTGGATGAATTGAAACACTACAATTCCCAGAGTTCCGCTCACTCGGCAACAGCGTATGAAAGCGAGGCGATGACAAGACTCATTTCCTGGAATCGGTCATTTTGAACAACTCTTTGGAATGAGCCGTTTATGAAGCGATTCACTGATTCTTTTCCGTCTATCCTTTATCACATGTCCCTGACAGCATGGCATTGCATATTCATTCATTTATGGCTTAATCCCTTTTTTCATTAGGGGTCACCACAGCGGAATGAACCGCCAACTTATATGTTTTACACAGTGGATCCCATTCCAGCTAAAAACCAGTACTCATGAAGTCTTGGGCTGTTTGGATAAAGCCACTCAGAGTAAAAATGAAGTGTATCTAAATTTTATTAATAATGTTATTTTCCTGTTATTCCTTTAAGAACAAGTGTAATTAGAAGAAGCCAGGGCCCCCAAAAAGGAGCTATAGGGGACCTTGGAAAATTGATAAAACTAAAGCAACAGCAAAAGATAATAAATAGATATAATAAATGGAGCAGTAGGTAGTGCTGTCGCCTCACAGCAAGAAGGTCACTGGTTCGAGCCTCGGCTGGGTCAGTTGGCGTTTCTGAGTGGAATTTGCATGTTCTCCCCGTGTTCGCATGGATTTCCTCTGGGTGCAAAGTCCAAAGACATAGGTGAATTGGTAAGCTAAATTGACTGTAGTGTGTGTGTGTGTGTGAATGAGTGTATTTGGGTGTTTCCCAGTTATGGGTTGCAGCTGGAAGGGCATCCGCTGCTTAAAACATGTGCTGGATAAGTTGACAGTTCATTCTGCTGTGGTGACGCCAGATTAATAAAGGGACTAAGATGAAAAAAAAAGAATAATTAACTATATAATTAATTATAACTAAAACATATATCTATATTCAATGAATTAATTTAGAATAATTAGAATAAAATGTAAAATTACTTAAATAATCAGAGATTTTATTATTCATAATTTCTGAAATTGTAATAACTAAACTGTAATAACTAAATAGAAGCTAAATATGTTCAAATAATATTTTATACCGATTTATAATGTTTCCTGCAGCTGAAAGGGCATCCACTGCGTTAAAACGTGCTGGATAAGTTGGCGGTTAATTCCGCTGTGGCGACCCCGGATTAATAAAGGGACTAAGCTTCTAGTTCACTCAAAAATGAAAATTACCCCATAATTTACTCACCCTTAATCCTCCTTTTTTCTGCCAGACGAACACTCAGAGTAGTTTTCAATTTTATCCTGGCTCTTCCATGCTGTATAATAGTGTTGGATAGTGGCTTTTATTTTGAAGCTTCCAAAAAGGTTTCAATCCATCACCAAACTAACCCATATGCTGTCAAGGGGTTAATGCATGTCTCATGAAGTGGACCGATGTGTGTCTGTAATGAAAACATCAGTCATTTTACAGTGAGTTTTGAGATCTTAAAGAGAGGGCTGGATTGTAGCAGAACAGAAGGTTGGTTAGATAAACATCAGCTAGATTATTTAAAGCTTTATAGGTTAGAAGCAATGTTTTATAATCAATACGGAACTGAACAGGCAGTGTAGGGAGAATAAAATTGGGATGATATTGTCATATATTGTAGACCTGTTAAGAACTCTGGCAGCTGCATTTTGCACTAACTGCATATTATTAGTAGAGGATGCTCGGCAACCAGCGAACAGAGCATTACAGTAATCTAATCTTGAGGTCATAAAAGCATGAACTAGCTTTTCTGCATCTAAGTTGGATAGCATACTTCGTAACTTTGCGATATTTCCTTAAAAATACTGTTTTCGCCTGAAAGAAGAGAGTCATATACATAGAGGATGGCTTGAGGGTAAATGAATTGGGTGAACTATTTATTTACTAGCAAATTTACAAAAATTAGCTGTACTATCCCTTTAAGAGTGCTTTTTTTTGATTCAGTGATTCAGTGAGTCGCTGACTCCAGAACAGCTTTGTCGTATATTCGACTCGTTCAGTCCGGATTTATGAACCAGCTCAATTGACTCACCAAAAAGACTCGGTTCAAAAGAACGACTCCGACATCACCAGCAGGGCTGAGCTTGAGCTCTCAATCAAATCCCACAGACGAGGAGTAGGAAGCTCTGCGGAGACATGTAAGATGGCAGAGTTGCAGATGTTACTAGAGGAAGAAATCCCAGCCGGTAAACGAGCTCTCGTGGAGAGTTACCAGAACCTGACGAGAGTCGCGGATTACTGTGAGAATAATTATGTTCAGGTAAGCGCGCGCGCGCGTTTTCTCTGTTACGCGCTGATCTCCAGCACTGCTGTTGGGAGTCGGACAGGAAATATGGTTGTAAAACGGGAAAGCAGGGATGAGCCGCTTTTTGGGAGATTCTTTGAAGACATCAAAGGCGATATTTCGATGTAGAGCTTGACTTGTTTAAGCGGTTTGACGATCAGATTTGTGATCGTGTTCGGGATTTGTTTCGTTTACATTGAGGGTGTGTCTGGATACTCTTTAACTTAGACATTTGAAGTTTTGCTCATATCTGTGTCAAACTTCAGAAAGGAGGATGTGAGATTTTGGCCTCGATAGGAGAAGATTAGATATGAAAGGACTTCAACTGATTGTGTTTGCTTATACTTGATAATAAAACTGAACTAGTGTGTCAAATGGGAACACGAGAGGTCGTATAAAGCTGAGCTTCAGTCATGTTTTATTTCACCTTTGTTTGTTTCTTTTATCAAATAATATCAGGTCGGCTTCCTGCAATGCTGTTTGTTACGTTGTTTTTCTAATAGATTATTAAACTCTTAAGTGGTCAACTTAAAACTTAATACTTCAAGAGCGTATTTGGTAATCACCGATTTTAAATACTTTTTACAATGTTATTCAATGTATTTATTTGTTCAAAGGCATTCTTATATTTATTTAGTGATATTATGTAATAACATAGTAATAAACATTTCTTAGAAGTTTGATTGCGGTCGTATTATTAGTTTATTGATAGGGTTTTGAATAATATTTTGCTTTCCACATCAATTCAAACGACAAAATACATACAAAGTGTAATAAATACAAGTAATCTGTGTTTAACATTTAAAATGTACTTACTTTTTAAAGGAAATAATGTTGAAATGTGGGTGAACTAATTCAGTTGTCATTCAGCATCCTGTAAAAAGGACTCCCAACTTTTGACCTTACCTTACTGTATAATTATTATAAAATTGAATTAAGTGATCATACTAAATATTATGTTTTGAAACATCTATCTATCTATCTATCTATCTATCTATCTATCTATCTATCTATCTATCTATCTATCTATCTATCTATCTATCTATCTATCTAATAATTCTAATGACAAAAAAACAAGCTATATTACACTTTATTGTTCTGATCCTTGATAACTTTTTTTGTGTGGCCAAACTTAGATATAAATAGTTGATTTTACATAGTATTCATAATTAATTTTATTTATCTTATAATTGGTCATTAAAATATCTATTAATACAATTTTTAAAAATTTTAAAACATTCTATCTATCTATCTATCTATCTATCTATCTATCTATCTATCTATCTATCTATCTATCTATCTATCTATCTATCTATCTATCTATCTATCTATCTATCTATCCAATCATCTATCTATCTGTCTGTCTGTCTGTCTGTCTGTCTGTCTGTCTGTCTGTCTGTCTGTCTGTCTGTCTGTCTATCTATTTATCTATCTATCTAGACATCTAGACATCTAGACATGAATGTTACACAAAAGGACATTTCAGTTAGTTTAATCTTCAAATCGCTTTAATATAAATGACTTTTTATCATTATTCCACAATTGTAATGACAAAAGAAACAAGAAATATTATACTTTATTGTTCTGATTCTTGAGAATTGACTTGGTCAGACGTATATAGTTGATTTGATATATTTTACTTCCTGACATACTTCATTTTATTTAGCTTATAATTGGTCATTAAATATAAATATTTATTTTATAAATGAGTAAAAACATACACACTGAAAACATATATTTATTTTATTTTATTTAATATTTAAAAAAATATATATAATATTTATATTTTCTTTTATTGAATTATTATTTAAAGTACTAATGAAAGTATTTTTATGTGTTTCTGATTTAGCAAATTTTGGCTTATTGACCATTTATCTCAGGGGCGTAGAATTAGCACGGGTGGAGGGGACGTGTCTCCTAATTGAAATGTCCTCATCTATAATTTAATCTGTCAGCTCTCCTTATCTCTCAGAGTAGCATGTCGAATTTTGGTTGAAACTACTGTTTGAAAAACTAAAGCTTGTGCTCCACCAACTTTAATTCATACTGATGTATGAGACACGTTTCGTTTGTGCTATGGCTAAAATAAATAAACGTCTTAATTAAACTCTATAAAGCATTTGTAACAGTAAGTTTAATTCCCTTAATTAAACTTAATGAATTGTATTGTATATAGAGTGGAATAAAATAAATAAAATAGCAATGTTAACGTAAAGGGATTTTGCAGCAAATAAAAAAATCTGAATTCATAATTCATAGGTCCCCACCAATGTCAAGAGTAAATTTACACTCCTGATTTATCCATATGACTGCAATATTTCTAGACTCATTTTGCAGTTACAATAGAAAATATTGACTTTATTGATCATCTGTTTAGTGTACACTTGATCTAAATCTGATAAGAAACCTTTTGAGAAAAAAAATCTGTCCTCTACAATTATTTGTGTCAAACAGCATAATGTTTAACGCGTCATTTTGACACAAAACACCTGTTGGAAATGCCTAAGAGGAGATTTACCCCACCATCGAGATGTTTATCAAGCTTTAATTGTGTTGTAATTCCTTAAGAAGAAGTTGCTCGACAGGTAGCGCAACATTTGATAGGAAAGCGGCCTGTCAGGTTTGATGTAAAATGGCAAGCTTTTCCCTCCGCATGACCGAGCACGCTTCGGGTCGCACCGATACTACAGCGCCGACCGCAGGAGAACATGACTCAGATGAGAAACCGATCACTACATCAGAGTGTTCAAGTCCTGGCTTGACAGTACGGCCCGCAGCCTAACATGTGGCTTTTTCCACCCTGTCTGTGTGTGTTTTCTTCCGCTACATCATGCCTGAGCGCAGGATGAAGACACTTCCTGTGAATGATGTCGCTGTGATGATGATGCGGCAGCAGATGGTGGGAGTGGGTTTGTGTAACCAGGACAGCCACTGGCCCACTTTCACATGTTCTCAGTGTGTGTGTGTGTGTGTGTGTGAGGGTGTTCTTGTTTTTATTTCATAATGGGGACTTAAACCTCAATGCATTAATGTGTACTTGTGTCACCTAAATCAAGGTCCCCATGGATAAACAAGCTTGTAAATCATTTAGAATGAAGCATAAAACTTCTGTCATGTTGAGTTATTGGGTAGGATTGGGGTTAGAAGACAGAAAACATATATATATATATATATATATATATATATATATATATATATATATATATATATATATATATATATATACATACACAGGTTGTACAGTATAAAAGTCATTATGTCTATAGAAAGTCCCCACAAGGATAGTAAATCAGGTTTGTGTATATGTGTGTTCTCGTTTTAGTGTTTTACGACTCATGAGGACATAAATTGTTATAAAGACATGTTATAACCTAGATATTACGATGTTGTGGTTGTTGTGAGATCATGTCGTGTCCTCGTAATTCTAAATGTAATAATCATTAATTAAATATGGATATGGGCTGCGCAATATATCGCAAAAGTATTGTTATCGCGACAATAGTATATGCAATATACAAATTGCTGACGTGTGATTAATGGCATTTATTTTATGTCTTGGTTGTTTATCTAAATTTGACCAATCAGAAGAGGACTAGAATAAATGTAGACGACAGAGTAGATGTAGGTTGTACGGTATAAAGGTCATTATGTCTATCGGAAGTCCCCTACATGAGTAGCCCTTTACTACTCACGAGGACATAAATTTGTATAATGGCATGTTATAACCTAGGTATTACATTGTTGTTTATGAGAGTGCCCTCATAATTCAAAACTTGCTTAATTGAGTTGGTATTATGGCCACACAATATATTGCAAAAGTATCGCAGTCATAATAGTAGTATATGCAATATATATATATATATAGCAGATGAGTGTGTTAAATTACGTTTATTTTATGTATTGGTTATCTAAATTTAAACAATCAGATGAGGACTTACTGCATGGTGGGGACTTAAACCTGATTTCACTAATGGGGACTTGTCACTGTGGGGACCAAAGATGAGTTCCCCATGGTTAAACAAGGTTGTAGATCATCCAGAATGAAGAATTTTGAAAGCGTAAAACTTCAGAATGTTTTCTGTCATGTTGGATTAATGGATAGGGTTGGGTAAGAAGACAGATTATACATAGTTTGTACAATTTAAAAGTCATTGTCTATTGGAAGTCCCCACAAGGAAAGTAAACCAGGCGTGTGTCTGTGTGTGCTGGTTTTGGCATTTTTTAACGATTCAAGAGGATACAAATTGGTATAATGAAACGTTATAACCTAGGTATTACACTGTTGTGGTTGTTTACAAGAACATGTCTTATGTCCTTGTAATTCAAAACAAAGAAATCATACTTAATTTAGTATTGATTATGGCTGTGCAATATATCGCAAGAGTATCGTTATCATGATAATAGTATATGCTACATACGTTGAATAAATTACATTTATCATTTATTTTACTATATCATGGTGGGGACTTTAACATGAATGCACTAATGGGGACTTGTCACTGTGAGGACCTAAGTTGAGGTCCCCATTGGTAAACAAGGTTGTAAATCATCCAGAGTGAAAACATTTTGAAAGCATAAAACTTCAGAATGTTTTCTGTCATGTTGGATTAATGGATATGTTTGGGTAAGAAGTCAAAATAAACAGTTTGTACAGTTTAAAAGTCATTGTCTATGGGAAGTTCCTACAAGGATAGAAAAAAAGGCGTGTGTGTTTGTGTGTGTGCTGGTGTTGGTGGTTTACTACTCACAAGGACACAAATTTGTATAATGGCATATTATAACCTACGAGACGATTACGATGATGTGGTTGTTTATGAGAACATGTCTTGTGTCCTCGTAATTCAAAACATAAAAATCATACTCAATTGGGTATATATTAGGGCAGCGCAATATATAGCTGAAGTATTGCTATCGCAATAATAGTAGATGCAGTATATCTAATATCTATTGTAGACATGTGTGATAAATTACATTTA